CAGGTTCCACAGTGGCACTGTTGACACCAGACTGGGAGAGGTTCCTCATCGCTGCAGGGCAGGTCTGGAGTTCTGGATCCCACTGGCCTGCACTCACGCCTCCCTGACTAGAATGTTAGGGATGCCCACTCACTGCTCCCCGCTCGGCCTTTGTGACCCCACCTGGCAGGGAGGGGAGGGCCGTGGGCGCTGCCCCGTGGGGTAGAAGTCCAGCTCCCACGGTCTCTACTCACACCACGGGCGCGGGCCTCGGTACCACCCAGCAGGGTTGGAATTTCTCCCCATCGGTCTTCTCTGGTGTCACCACCTGGGGGTGTCGGGCGCCTCAGCACAGCCAGCTGAGGGCAGAAGCCAAGGCTCCCAGGGCCCTTGCTGGCAGGGTTGGGAGGGGGTTACGGTGTTTTCTGTGGTGTCTGGTTATTTTTTAAAAACTTTCTGTCCTGCTAGGCTCCCCCTTTCCTGGTCCTTCGGCTAGAGGAAGCAGGCTTTCGGCGGTCTTTTTTTTTGTCTTCGCCGTTGACATTTCTAGGTTGCTGGCTTCTTCGGCTCCAAGTCTAGCATAGGTGAGGCAACTCACCCCCTGTCCCATTCCTTGAGTCCCAGCATCCCTAGCTGGTCTGCCTTGTTCTCTGCATCTTTCAGGATCTTCTTACGTTTGGTTAGCGGGGAGTGTCCAGTGTTTTTAGCTGTGCTTAGTGGGAGGAACAGGGAAAGCACATTCACTCTGCCTTCCCGGAAGCAGAACAACGCTTCCCTTTTAGCTGCGCCTTAGTGACTGTCAACTACTTGAGAAGAGCAAACCTATCATAGACAGTTGCCTGTCCACCTGTGCACGTGAAGACGCTTAATATTTAATAGTTATTTGTAGGCTGACGGATTTGGCTGTTCACGTGGTACCTTCACCTCAGAGAGAGAATTCTGAGAACTGTGATTAGGAGAGACCTAAGAGTGTTACGGAACCTCCACACACCTATAGCCAGGAAGTGTTCCCTAGGCACCCAGCGTCAAGGACAGGTTGGGTGGCATCCTCCCTTCGTCTTCACAGAGAGGTTGTGAGCAGAGGGCTGGCTGCCCCAAGACCCTTTGGAACGTAAGCCTGCGAGTTGCTGTGGTCGGTGAGGCCTTCTTGTTCCATGGCAGCTGCACGTTCTGGGAGCTGCCACCGGGGAGCTTGTGGCAGGGTGTCCAGAGCATTCACTCCATGTCTCCTTTGAAACAGGAGGACCATGACACCATGGAAGCCGACCTGGACAAAGATGAATTGATCCAACCCCAGCTTGGAGAACTCTCAGGCGAGAAGCTTCTGACCACGGAGTACCTGGGAGTAAGTGCCACGTGAAGGGGGGTCCTGACATAGAGAGGTTAGACGGACGTTGATGGACGTGTTTATGAGAAGGTCCGTGCTAGCCAGTTTGCTCTCGGTGGCCCTAGCCGCCTGTCACAGACAGACCTGCAGGTGTATGAAGGGGGCTGGGGGAAAATCCAAACAGCAGGCATGTGTCCGGAGCCGTCATAGCATCTGAAGGTCTGCCTGGCCTTGGGAGTAATCGCCCACCCGCCGCTATTCAGTGTCCGTGTGCCTTGTCTGTTAGAAGGGAGGATGTGATAGGTTTGGAAGTCATCAGCACAGAAGTGGTAGCTGAAACCACCAGAGCCCATGAGGCTGCCCACGGAAGCGGAGTGTGGAGAGGGAGACAGTGAGAGGCTGAGCACAGAGGGGTGTTCCAGAACGTCAGGAGGGGGAGAAGGAAGGGGGCCCCAGAGAACAGTCAGGGGGGCCTGAGGAGAACCGAGAGCCTCTGGATTACGACCCACCAGCTATATAGGGCAGGGCATGAATCAGGAGGGAATGCCACTCTCCCAGGAGAGGGTGGCAGTGCCAGGACTGCAGGTGTCTCTCGATGGGCAGGCGGTGCTGGCGTGTAAGGTTTCGGAAGGGAGGGGCAATTGCAAGGGCTGAGGCCCCGCCCAGGCTGAAGCCCTGCATTGGGCACATAGTGTAAAGGTCATGGTCATGGAAAGGGCCCCTAGAGCTTTGAAGCTGGCAATTGAAGCTGGGTCAGTAACATGGACCTCAAAATCTCGAATTAGGTAGGCTGATATTGGAGGGGAGGAGCGAGCCAGTCTCTCTCTCAACAATTGACTGGCAAAGCGGAGACTTGGGAAAGAGGAAGATGGTGTCTGTGGGTGGCCTGAGCCTTTATGGGAGCAGGTGGCAGCAGAACACACCTGCCTGTTCCCATCGCCACCCACAGCCAGGCCCTCCCACATGCCGTAGACACTGGGCCCCTGGTCACCTGGCCCTCGTCCCTTCCTCATCATCTATGGAACTTCCAGGGGCTCCAGGCTGGAGGGCAGTGCATGCTGGTGGAACTTAAGGTTGGAGGGGCAGCCAAAGGCCAGATTGTGGGGCTTTGTGGATCTTACTCTACAAGAGCTAGGAAACCACAGGAGGTTGAGATCAAGGCAGTGACCCGGTTTGACTTATGTTTTAATATAAACACATGTTTTCACTCTGGCTGCTTTGCAGAGAATAGACTGTAGGAGCAAGAGAAGGAAAGGGGATGGGGCGGGGAACCACAGCTACCCCGAGCCATGGACAGGGCTGCTGGGCAGGACCCCGCCATTGTCCTTAGAAAGTCTCAAGGATCAAAGGGGCCTAATGGACCGTGGAGGCTCTGTTTACATTAGGTGAAGTGGGGAGGTGCCCCTAAAGGTCAGAAGTGAGGCAGTCCAAGGTTCCAGGCTGTTGACGGACGTCTCAAGCCATGAGTAGGCCTTTGTTTCCCGTTGGAAGAAGGCTGGCTTTGTCAGAGAGATTGCGCTCCGTTTGACAGGATAGAAGCATCTGCAAGACGCTCTGCTTCATGGGCAGGCGATGAGAGCGGAGGAGGGAGGGTGGTGGGGCTCCTCGGGAGGGCAGGCGGTGATGCCTCGAGCCTGCAGTGCGTGTGCCCCTGCCTCGCAGTCCCAGACGCAGCCACACACTCGCGGAAATGTCCGCAAGGATGGTCATTGTAGCCGGGTCAGACAGAACCCTGAATCCAGCCCTCGGTTGATGACGTATGGTACCTCTACACGGTGAGATGCTGTGGCTGAGGCCTTCTGTTGATATGGGAAAGATATTTAACAACAACAACGAAAGTTTAATCATGCAAACTGGTGAGGCACAAAGGGGCAGTGCTCTCACATCAGTCAGTAACCCTGGTGTATTGCCATCTGAAATGGTATCATCTTCCCGTAGTGGGCAGTTCTAAACCTCCTGGACGTATACGTGCGATCCGTTCACCACAGGAAATATTTTTGATCTAACATAAGAGAAACTCCACGCATGCTTGCTTGTCCCAGTGGTGTCGGGGCTGTTGGGTGGAGACGTGAGTTGTGAGAAGGCAGCACAGACGGCGTCGCTGCATAGACAGGAAGCCGAGAGCCTTCGTCTCCCGTGGCTCGGTAACAAAGGACCACAAACTAGGGTCTTAGAACAACAGAAACTTATTCTCTCACAGTTTTGGAGGGCAGAGTCCAAAATAAAGGTGTCGGCAGGGCTGTGTTCCCTCCAGAGACTCTAGAAGGGGAGAATCCCTCCTGCCTCTTCCAGCATCTGCTGGCTCCAGGCATCCTTGGCTTGTGGCTGCAGCACTTTGATCTCTGTCCCGCCTGCACGTGTCTTCTCTTTTCTCGGTGTTCTCCTCTTCTGTCCTTTGTAAAGACACTTGTCACTGGATATAGGGCCTGCCTGGATAACCCAGGATGATCTCTTCATCTCAAGGATCCTTAATTAAATCTATAAAGACTCTTTTCCAAATAAGGTCACATTCACAGGTTCCAAGGTCAGGATGTGAACGATCTTTTGGGAGCCACCATTCAGTGCACTGCACCAGGCCACACAGGGTCTCGTAAACATCTGTAAGTTTCATTAGAAAGCTTAAGTCGGATGCACGTCCCCAGCACTGCCTTCGCCTCCTTGGTCACCCAGTCTCGTGACCTGAAATCGCCAGCCCCTGTGTGCTGGGTCGAGGGTTTCCAAAGCGGGGGGTCTCACCTTGCCATGCCCTTGCTGGCCTTGAAGTTCACATCTTTGTAACTTTTTTGTGTGTGCCAAATGAGGGATCTGACCAAGACAGAAGACATTCCACTGGGGAATATGCACCTGAAACTCAGGCCGCAGGCCTCTCTTGCTGGAATTCAGGGTACGTTGCAGAGTTTTCAAGATGAGTCTAAAGATACTGCTTTTTGAAACATTCTATCAGAAAATTGTATTTGAAAAATTTTTATTGAACCCGTGCCATTTGCCTAACACAACAGAATGTTGTAGAAGCTTAAGACACAGCTATTACCTTCAAGAAGTTTACAAGAGAAAGCACGAAACAGATAAGACCCCTCTTGTGGAATGGTGTCGGTGACAGCTGGGAGTGGTCAGTGGGCTGGCAGGAGCCAGAGTGAATCCCAGAGCCCCGAATGTGGGTTAAACCCAGAGTTTCAGCCCAGCCCCAGACCTCCTGACGGTGATCCCAGGACTCGGTTGTTGTACACGCCTAGGATTTCAAAACTAACCAGCAGCTTGGGGGTGAGGGTGGAGGTACAGCTGGAGCAGCCTGCCCGGGTGTTTGGAGGTGGAGGAAACTGTCCCCAGGATCCTGGACCCAGTAGCTCAACCCTGCTGGGCGTTTCCAACCACCTTCTCTGCAGGGCCACACTGCCCGTCCCCGCTCTCTGAGTCTACACTCCTCTGCGAAGCAGAGCCCAGACTGAGCAAAATGCTGCAGACCACGGAGAACTCAGAAAGCTAGCGACAAGAGAACAAATCACTCTTCCTAGGCTTGCAGGGGAATGGCAGCAGGCACACGGAATGTGTTGTCTACCCGTAATTCTGGTGACGCCACGTGCTGGGCTCTTTAGGCTGTGAATGTCAGCAGCTGCAAACTGATACTCGCCTCCTGCTTCTCCTGCCTTGAGTCTTTGTGAATTTCCTAGTGTCATCCATGCTGTGCTGCGTAACCAACAATTCTTCATAAAAATAATGCCCCGATTTAAATAGCTTCCTCACTTGGGTTAAAGGGATGTAGATATTCAGAATAAAATCATAGAATCCCAGTTTTTTGTTTTTATTTTAAAGTGACTTTTAACAACAGAAATAGGCAGGTCTTAAATTAATCAGGCACGTGGCCACGGGCCAAGCCCTCGGCAGACCCCTCACACGTCTGATTCCAGTTAACTTAATCCTCCCAGCAAACTTGGGGGCACATTCTGCTAGTATCTGCATTTTGTAGACGAGGGGCCACGGCTGGGAGAGGTTGAGTAGCTTTCCCAAGTGTTATTGGGGCTCGCTTGCCCTTTCCCACCCAGCCGGCCTGCCTTCCAGCAGCACTGGTGATTGCAGGGGAAGTGGATTCTGCATTTGAAAGTTGAGAGCTCTAACTGCGTGAAGTGTTCATAATTACTAAATGATCTTTTTTTTTTTTTTTTCAGAGGCAGGTCTCACTCTGTCGCCCAGGCTGGAGTGCAATGGCATGATCGTAGCTCATTCTAACCTCAAACTCCTGGGTTCAGGGTGATCCTCCTGCCTCAGCCTCCCAAGTAGCTGGGACTACAGGTGTATGCCACCATGCCTGGCTAATTTTTCTATTTGTTTTGTAGAGACAGGGTCTTGCTATGCTGCCCAGGCTCATCTCGAGCTCCTGGTCTCAAGCCATCTGATCTACTTGTTAAACACAGACTCTGTTTTAAGGGGGTGCCTAGTATGCATACCAGTTGCTTCCTTCCACACCTTCTTCCCCTCTGTCAAGTGAGGGCGCCCACATTCACTTAGTTTTCCTAAGAGTCACCAAAAGGGCTTGGTAAAGTGCTCTGGTCATGGCTCCAGGAGTCTGCATTTTTATTTACCCATCAGTGGTTCTGAAGCAGGAGTCTGGGCCATGGAAACTTTCCCACTTGGACAGAACTCACGTGTTAATGGAGACTCACCCAGCCTATCCTTTGTGTCATGTCGTGGGGCAGGGCCAAAGCCCTCCTATACTGGGAGCAGGCCCAGGCATGCACCTGGAGACACGGTGGGTCCCGGGATCCTACTGTCCCCTGTCCCGCTCTGCCTAGGGGCAGAAGCGCGAGGCACCTTGCAGCTGGCCTAAGGCCTCCTGCTTGTCTCTGTTCACAGCAAAAACCAAAACCAGAGGAGGAAGGGCCTTGCTTTCCAATTGTTACTTTTAGATTCTTTTTTAAATTTTCCTCTACTTTGGGGCATTTCCTAATCACTTTTCAATCAATTATTCCTGTTCTGCCTGACTAACTGATAGTTGAAGAGTCAGTACCCACTACATAGCGGGGATTCATTGGAACTAACTCAATGTCCATATGCTTGTGCATGAAAACCCAATTAAACAAGTAGAAAAAAATCCCAGATCCCAAAATACTCTGAATCCTTTTCTTTTTCCATTTGTCTCTCTTATTCTTTTTCCTAAGTCAAAAGTAACAGAACAACCATAATTCTACCCAGGCAGAGATAATCACTGTTGTCTCTGTTACCCTCCCTTTATCAGTTAGGATGGGCTCAGCTGCAAATAGCAGAGAGTCCTGCCTTATCAGTCCAGCTGAAAATCCCAGGTGGAAGGAGTTGGACCCCAGGCTTTTTTTTTTTAGACAGAGTCTCGCTCACCTGGGCTAGAGTGCAGTGGCATCATCATAGCTCACTGCAACCTCAAACTCCTGGGCTCAAACGATCCTCCTGCCTCAGCCTCCTGAGTAGCTGGGACTACAGGCACATGCCACCATGCCTAGCTAATTTTTTCTATTTTTAGAGAGATAGGGTCTCACTCTTGTTCAGGCTAATCTCAATCTCCTGACCTCGAGCAATCCACCCATCTTGGCCTCCCAGAATGCTAGGGTTACAGGTGTGAGCCACCACGCCTGGCCTGCATTTTTTATTGTGGTTTAATATGCTGCATGTTATAATAGCAGAACCTTCTTTCAAGCAAAATCTCCATCTGTAACACAGATGGAAGTTCCTCTGGATGAGCAGAGTTGGATGCCAGGAGCCCTCTTTCTCTTCTCTCCTGAAACCCCTGCAGCATTTCCGCACAACTCAGTATAAACAGCTCTGCCTCAGCAGGTTGTTGGACGCGGTGCCCTTTAAGACCCTGCCAGCCCAGAAAGGCTCCTTCATAATTGAGGGGCCCAGAGAGGGGCTGGTGGGCAGAGGCCAGCAAGAACGGCCAGAAGCTGCACTACTGGGCCTGCACGCTGAACCTGCTTCACCAAGGGCTTTGCTCAGGCATTTTCGCGACAGACCGGACAATGCCGGCCCATGCACCAGACTCAGTTTCCCCATGCGCTGCACAAGAAGAAGACCCACCTTAAGTTACTTCCCAGGCCTCTGAAGTTTTAAGGAGATGGTATGGCTGACAGGGTCTGAAACACTCTAGAATACGTGATATGTTCTCTCTGCTCCAGGAAGGCTGAGGAGGGTGCGAGGGCTACCTGCAGACTGGAAAGAACCCTGGCTTTGCCTGCCAGCCTCCCTTCCATCTGCCGCCCCCCGTCAAGGCAGGTTTTGACCTCACCTGCCCACTCCCCTGGCCGGGAGTGTCCCAGGGCTCAGGTGAGGCCCACCGGTTCCCGTAGGCAATGGCCCTTTTTTCCCCCTCTCCCTACCTCAAATACTAGATAAACCCAAAGAATTTTACAGTAGAAATCAAGAAATCAAAAATAGAATTTCGATTTTCAAAAAAAATTTTTTTTACTTTTTATTTTGAAATAATTATAGATTCAGAGGAAGTTGCAAAAGTAGTAGAGACATTTGATGATCCCATGTCTCCTCAGATTTAAGAAAGGAGTGCAGACACTTCCACAGTCCCACGCACCCTCCGCCCGGTCTCCCCCGGGGTAACATCTCGCGCCGCGGGCAGCGTAATACCAAAACCAGGAAGCCGACGTTAGTACAATCCAGACTTTATTCAGATTCCACCAGTTTTACAGTGATTTCTTTTCTAAATAATTTTTTCTTAATTATTAACATAATTATTACTGTATCACAGAAAACTTGAACAGTAGAAAATTACTCTTAGTTTTACTGTCCTATAGTATATAGCCACTCCAATCATTTTAGGGTTCATTTCCTTCTAGACTTTCTGTGTACTTTTGGCATAACTGAAAGTATTGTTTATGTACATTATTATAAGCTGATTTTTAATTAATGTTTTAAATAAATACTGTTCTATCCTATTCTTTATCAATGTAATTGGCCATATATATGTCAAATGAATATGCCATATTTTACTTAATTATTCTCCTAATACTAGATAGATTGTTCCAGTTTTACTCTATAATAATTTTATAATGAACAGTCTAGTTTATTTAACATTTTCCATGCTTTGGATTCTTTCACTAGGATTTACACTCAAGAATATAAACACTTTTAAGACTCTTGATATAAAATGCCAAATTGTTTTCCAAAAGAGTTTTCTTAAATTTCAGTGCCACTAACATTTAAATTCTTGTCATCAATAGATGGGAGCATTTCTTTAATTGTCCTTAATTGTCATTCATATAATAGTTGAAGAGTGATACCTTCTTTGTAAAGTTGTAGTTTCTTATTACTAGTAAAGCTGATCATTTTTCCTTCTATTTCTGGTAATACTTTCTATCTTGTGACATGGCCACTTGAATTCTTTGCCCAATTATCAATTTAGTGTTTTGCTTCCTGATTTATAGGAGCTCCATATCTAATGAAAATTTTAACCTTTTATCTGTTAAATTTGCTTCAAATATTTCTTCCCAGTTTGTTGTCTGCCTGTTGATGTAGCTTATTTTTAATATACTAGAAATGTGGAAATGTTTGTTTTTTATGACATCAAATCTCTTTTTTCCCTCACTCTCAAAAGTCTAGTCCCTTCCAGAGATGTGATAAGTTACTGTAGTCAACTGCTTTCTTCCTTTTCCTATGGTTTGATTTTTTTAAAAATTTATGCTGCTAAATGGTATAATATACAAACTAAAGGGATTTTCCCCTCCAATTTCCGTTTGCCTGAATATCTGTGACAGGATCCCTCCTCATTGATTTGCAAGGCCTCTTATCACTCTAGATTAATTTATTCAGTGCATCAATATTAAGTTTGACTTCAAGGTCAGCTCTCAAGTAGACGATTTCTTGATCCCCATTTCCTCTTCCTTCCACCAGATCATGACCAACACGGGGAAGGTGAGGCGGAAGGGGCTGGCCAACGTGCAGTGGAGCGTGGACGAGCCCCTGCGCCGGCCCGTCACCCCCGGTGGCCACAGGAGCGGGTACCCAGTGTAAGTCCGGGCTAACGGAGGCGGGAATTTATTTTCTTAAGCTTCATTTTGAGTAACTGCAGTATAAGATGTATGTATTTTAAAAGTTCAAAATAAAATGTTCATATTGAAAAGCATTTTTCTCTTTATTTATCTTTTTGGGATTTTTGGAGGGAAAGAGTGTTTCCTTCCCCCTAGATTTCTTGTTGCAGAAAGAGAAGTGGTTGGATTACAGCATCTCCGGGGCCACTTTAGAGGACAAGTGTTGGCCAGTGTAATTTCAAAGGAAAGGCCCGGAAAGGAACAGTGGCTCTACCCAGAAAGGACTTCCGTCATGTCTATTCTGCAACCTCTCGCCGTGGTACTAGGCCCTTTGTTGGGACTGGAGTATCACAGTTAAGACTGCAAGTCTATTTGTATTAGGTGACTCTTTAAAGCAACTGCATGCAGTTTTAGCTGCCAAGCCTTATTCTTTCTCCATAACCTTGCTACTACCCCATTTGCAGAAATAAAGCTTTAGTCTGGTTCCCCAGAGCCTCTGTCTGCCTGGGCACCTGGGCCCCCATGGGCTGTGGGGGAGCCCTAGGTCGGATAGTCCAGTAGGCAGGAGAGGAGCCTCTTCTGTAGTCTGGGGGCTTCTCTTTTCCTGTCTAGAGAGATCACTACAGAAAAATATTACAGAGAGCAGGCTAACAACCTACATTTATTCATTCAACAAATAGGTATGTAATATTTTAAGTGGATATACCAATTTTTACTTAGTTATTCCCTGTAGCTGGGCAATTTGGTTATTTCCTGTTTTACTCTATTGTAATTTTGTAATGAACCACCAGACATTGGGGACTCAGCAACAAATAAGACACAGCAATGCCTGCCCTCAGGGAGCCCAGGGCCACGGATGCCGTCCCACCATTGTGCCCGGCACCAATTCTCTTGCCCATGTGGTATTTGACCTATAAATATTTCAAGGCCTGTGCCATGGATCAGTGCTCTGAGATCTGTTTGATTCGATTTCATAATTAAGTGTGATAGGCTTACATTTCTAGAGGTTTTTTTTTTTTTGGTTTGGTTTGGTTTAGTTTTACTTTGTTTTTGAGACAGAATCTCCCTCTGTCACCTGGGCTAGAGTGCTGTGGCATCAGCCTAGCTCACAACAACCTCAGACTCCTGGGCTCAAGCGATCCTTCTGCCTCAGCCTCCCGAGGAGCTGGGACTACAGATGTGAGCTACCACGCCCAGCTAATTGTTTCTACTTATAGTAGAGATGGGGTCTCACTCTTGCTCAGGCTGGTCTCGAACTCCTGAGCTCAAAGTGATCCTCCTGCCTCAGCCTCCCAGAGTACTAGGATTACAGGTGTGAACCACTGTGCCTGGCCACTAGGTTTTTATTTTTGATTACTGATATACAAACTAGCATCATGCTCTTTTCTCTCTTAAACCTGCAGCCAGTATTTTTTAATTTACAGAAAAGTTGAAAGAATATTATAACAAAGAGCTTCTGATTGTTAACATTTATGCACTCTCTTGCTCTCCTATGTGTATAATGTATAAATTACGGGCATATACATTTTTTTGGCTGAACTGTCTAAAGGTTGCAGACTTTCGGCGTGCATCTCCTTAGAAACATTCTCAAACGTATACACAACAACCTAAGAAAGTTAACATTAACAATATTATATAGGGCTGGGCGTGGTGGCTCAC